CTTTTAAAGAAAAAGCTTTCCCTGCTTGGTGCTGCACCAAACAGACAAAACTTTGAAGGCAGTTATTTGCTCAAGTGGGCGTCTATTGCACCCACCGAGTATTGTGTTACCTCTCTGCCTTCGGACTGCCCGAGCTAGACCTACTAAAATCCTCAGGGCAGTCACTTTTCCCAAAAACGTATTATGTTTCAATCCACACCAATGAGTCACGCTCTTTTTAATTTAGACTTAGTGTCGCGAATATCCGAGTTCGGACCTGTTTTGTATTAGTCTGGTTCTTTTTGAAAGGCAAGTTACCAGTGCAGTCACTGATACCTAGCCTGTGTATTAATAACCTAATACCTCTCGCTTTTTAGTCTTTCTTTCGTTTACCTAAGTCCTTAATAAAATGATACCCCTCCGGATTGGCACAAATAGGACCCTTCCGGACTGTCAGAATATAGACCCCTCCGGATTGGGACCCCTCGGAATTAGCAACTATAAGACCCCTCCGGATTCGGACCCCTCCGGTTTTGTGGAAAGTAGACCCCTCCGGATTCGGACCCCTCTGACTTTGAAAAATTTCGACCCCTCCGGATTGGGAGCCCTTAGCTCTGTCAAAGTAGCTTTTCGTAGTTTTCTTAATCTCAGCTTATACCCCTCCGGATACGTTCTGCGTTGCTTTTATGCTGTTTGAATTAACTGGGAAGGGTATAGGGTCCTTTCCTAGACCCCTCCGGATTGAAGTTAAGGCACTTATTTGACAATTCACACTAACGGTGAAGGGTCTTATCACTTGCCTAATTTCGACTCTATTATGGTTGTCTTGTGCCTTCAGCCCTCCCTTTTTGTCTAGAACTGTCCTAAGTTACTTAGTTCAATCGCTATCAACTTTTGGTAGGGGTATAAGGGTTTTTCAGAAAAATTTATAAAACGTGAAGGGTGTACCCCTCCGGATTTGTGTAATTTGCTAAAAACAATCTCAAAAATTTTCACGCTCGTTTTTCCGAAAAATTTCTAATCCTATTAGTAAGCTCAGCTAATTTCTGATCTATTGGTACCAAGATCAACTCGATATGCTCAGTAGTTCCAAAGTTATTAACCAAAACGTCTTTTTTCCAAACTCAAAAAATTTTCTCTCTTATAGGTTCCGCCTAACTTTTTCCGCAAATCTGGTCCTTTCGACCTAAAAATTATTGATCCGAATTCAGAAGGCCTATACTCTTCTAGTTCAATGCAAAAGACCCGATCTAAAACGCTATTGTAGAAAAAATTTGCGAAAAACTATGCTACCTGGACCCCTCCGGATTGATGAATCCACCAAATCAAACACGTTACGTTCGATTTCTCTGCAACCCGGAAGGCTTTCGGGTAGCGGGTTTTAAAACTTGTAGATTCACTAGTGGACGTTGTCCGAACAACTATTTTTACTGTCCTACCTCAAAAATTTCAAAAAATTTTCTAAATTTTTAGTGTTCCGTTTTCTCAAAAATCACGAAATTTCAGTTTTCGGTACCAAAATAGTTCCAACCACCTTCGAACTTAACTTAACCGGTTCTACCTATTATGGTAGTGCAGTTACGATGTAACACACTAACTTAGCGCTTTTTTCCGTTTCAAAAAATATCGATATCTCAAAAATTGCGACTTGTGGGGGGATCAAAATATCGCAATTTTGATCCTAAAAACCGGTCTGTTTTCGTTGTTTTTGACTGAAAATCGATATAAGACTATTAATATAGGCTATATAAGTAATAATATTAGTAATACTATACCCCTCCGGGTCTGTTTAATATCTGAATTAAGGTGCTTAACTCGGATATTCGCAGTTCGGTGAAGGGTCACTACAGTGCAGCACTGTCGAGCCCCCACAGATTACTATCTTACTTTTTGTACCAAAAGGGATACAAAACTTGTTAACGATACCCAACAGTCGATTGTTGTTGTCGTTTAGCCCCTTCTTGTTGCTCCTTGTACTGCTTGCCGGATCGGTCTTCACCCAGGACCCTTCCGAATTGAGCGCAAATCAGCTGACCCTTCCGGATTGAGCGCAATTTATCATTAACGTGCTTAAATGCTCAAATAACCCTACAGTACAAGCCTCACAAACGGGCCACAAAATTGCTCGTAACGATCCTGACTGATATAAATGCCTGTAACAACAATATATCTATCAACAACAAACGGGGGGGTTGAATCACATCTTGTCTGGGGGGATGATTTCTACTGATTTTTTACTTTTTTACTGTTTTTGGTTTTTTCGGTTATTTTTTTATGTTTTTTTGTTTTTCTTGGGTACTATACTACTTTTTGTTTGGTTTTGCTTATATCTTTAAGTTTTTTTGGTCACAAACCACTCAGGGGATGAGGGGTTCATGATTCCCCCCACCCTTCCTGGTTCGTGAATTTTCGGTCTTAACTAGGTTAAAAAACTATTCACGGCAATCCGGAAGGCTTCCGCGTTCCGAACTACCCTTCCGCCCCGGCAGTTTAGGCCTATTAAGGGCGTTAATGTGAGCATCCGCTCGGCGCGGAGTGCTCGTTAACGGTTCCGCCGGTCATGATGTTATGAAAGAATAACACCCAGGAGCGCCATAAAAACATACATGTAACATTCGCCCGGAAGATACATATCGACGGATAACAAAACTAAGTCTTAAGACGACTGGCTACCGTCTAAACAGAGCTTTGCATGTTTTTCACCGTCTCTACCAAGCCAGTACTTTTCGGTGGTCTTTCTTACATCGGGTCGACAAAAACGTTACTGCTCTCTGGCTTCGACCAGAACGCTCAAATTAACTGAATTACATGCAAAAATAGTGAGCTCATGGCTGGGTCTCAGTATCCCCAGACCACGAGGTCACTCCTAAAAACAGGGCTACTACTTATTATATTACTATTGTTTTTGTTCAGTAGATAAAAACCATCATCTCCATCGAAGATGGATCAACCCTTTCCCCCCACTCCTAGCTTCTCATCCTTATCAAAATGAATCCAGTTGTTAATTAAATTCAATTCAGGACATGACAAGAAGCTAAAAGTTTATATAAAAGGCTAAAAGTTCCAGTCCCGAAACCCTTCCGGATTCTTGAATCCAGTGAATCAAGCTCCTCAAGTTCAATTTCACGCCAATCCGGAAGGCTGGTTCTCACCCTTCACCGTTGTCGGCAACGGCCTTGCAACTATTGTAGCAGCACAATAGTTGCAACTTGGAACGTTCTCTGCTATTGTAGTTCGTTGTCGTTTTTCTTTAATCTCGATTTTCGTTCTGTTCGCAATCACAGATAAAGTTGTTATGGTTTTTCACTCGTTTTTTGTTAAAAATGGCCGTTTCAGCATTTCTCCGAAATGTGACGTCATCATTCGAAATTTTGAAAATTTAAAATACTAGAATATTCTAGCCCTCACCGTTTGGCTAATAACGTCGCTAATCCTTCGAAATCATCAACTCGGAAGGCTTACTGCTAAAAATTCGAAGTCTGCATAAATTGCATTTTGGCCATTCTGGTCGAATGTCACAAGACCCCAGCTGTCCACCTTTCCTCTGAGGGTTCACTCTGGTCCACTTCTTACTTGTGTTTGCTTTACTCGCAATCGCTCTGCATCCTGTTCAGGATAGGACAGCTCTACTCTCGTGTGATTTTTATATCTGGAAATTGCGAATAGCAATTTTCCGCTGCTTTTTTCGACTACTTTCCCGCGATTGTAATTCGGTTGTTCTGATCTTGCATTTCTGAGATTTTTAGTTGTCGCGAGAAAATTGAGTATGACAGGCTCAATTCGAATTTTTGAAAAATTTCATTTCACCCCAAAATTACCTTGTTCGTATTGCTCAAGGTCAAACTTCCAAATATGACCGACTGGTACACATTCAAGAAAGATTTCATTACGAAGCCAAATTTATTGCAGATGAAAAACTGTCCTTTTCAGACCCGGATTACATTAGTAAGTCATTGAACCTTAATATTGATACTGTAAATAGATAGTAGCTCTGATCATTTGCTCTCGAACAAATTTTAAAGTTTTTTGAATTTTGAAGGATAAATTGTCCAAAATGTACAATGAAAACAGGCATTTTCAGAGTAAAATTCTGAATTTTCGCTGAGTTTTGTGCACTAGTGTAAGTTTTGCACCGCAAGGTCTGTGGTTTGGACCGCAAATTTCATAGGAGAAGTTACCCAGACAAGCTGCACCCTGGATCTAGTCATTTTCCTTGCTCTTGGCCATCGCTACTCGCAGCCACTCTTGTCTACAATCCACAAGCTGAAAATTTTACTCGGTAATATGTATATATCTATTGCAATCAGTAATTGATCAAGAGTGTATTTTAGCACGACTTTCTCGGAGTTTCAATTCGGCTGTTGTGTTCTTTTTTCTTGTTCTTTTTTTTTACTATGAGAAATATTAAATTACAAAGAACAATGTTATATACGTTTATAAACTGTAGATAATATTTTACAAGTAGATAATATTTTATAAACTGTAGATAATATTTTTTTTACTGATTTTAGTTGTCGCGACAAAATCAGGCATGACTGGTTCGCTTCGAATTTGTAAAATAAAAATTCAAATTGAAAACTTTATTTTGACCGACTGGCACACAAAATTGTACCCGGTGCTCTATGTTTCTTCTGTATTAATTTTTGTTCGCTTAAGTTCTCCCTAGTGCAGATTTCTACGAAGTACTTGAAGAGATAGTGGACACCATTCAAAATTGTCATTAAGTTTCGGAACCTTGTCGCTTTATTCTCAGTATGCTGCGTGGTTAAATCTACTGACATATAGTGAATGCCATATTGTTGACAATTTCCTTTTCGATCAACGAATCTGAACGAAGTTAATTAAGCTAAAATGTTATTTTTTTTCTGGTCGTTTTTCTGCTTTTCATTGATTTTCACATGTAAAAACTATTTCCAAAAAACTAATGAACCCAAAATGCGATAGTTTTTACCGATTAGGTTGCTCCAGCTCACCTTAAATTGCTCAATTTGGCATTAACTTTAAATAATTTTTTTTAGATGTGAAATATGAAAAAATCAAAATGTTTCAAGTAAGCAATTCGTTGGATTTCATCACTTGTCCGTTTGTGCGCAAAGACGAAATTTGCAACCGAGCTCATTGCGTCTTCAGCCATCGGAAAACTGCCAACAGTTCAGATAAAACAAAGACTTCAGCAGCTTTCAAATCTCCATTAAGATCTGAGAAGAGTATTTCATCGAATATACGAAGAAACGATTTGGAATACGACCCTGTAGATAATTATGCTGTTAATGGTTTGAGCTCTGCAAAGACAGCTTCGACAAATTACTTGGCCAAGTGTCACAAAAAACCGTTGGTAATTGAACAACAGTCGGATTTTTTGCACAATAATGCAGGCAAAGAGAAGTTAGATTATTTGAACGGCAACGTAGATTCTAATAATGTTGCAAAGAAACCTGAAGGCAAGACAAAAACCTGTGGTAAGAAATCAAAGCTGAAAACGTCGACAGAAAATGTGCTCAAAAAGTCGTCTACAGAAAGTGCGAAAAACACGGCAACAAAAATGGTCAAACAGGTTCAAGTCAAGCGTAAATTGGTTTCTGAAGTCGATTTTCTTTCCATGGAGGAAGGGGGCTTGGACCTTCCGAAGAAGAAAAAACTTCCAGCTAATAAATCAGTAAATGGCAAACAGCAAGCAAAAAGTTCTGTAGAGCTTGAAAAAATTGACTTAACTGAAGATATTGAATCTCCAGAGGAGTTAGAAATATCAAATGTTGCGCATAATGACTCTCCAAAAGGTAATATTACAACTTCAACATGCAATCGAAGAGTGGAAATCCCATTTCCGCAAGTTGAAGTGCGAAAACAAAGTCCAGGAACTCCTTACGATCTCATGCAACAGAGGCTGCAATTATTAGGCCAACTAAAGGCTTCTTTAACTAAGCCGAACAAATCTTCAAACGGTGCTAAAATAAGTGTTCCATCTGCAGATATTATAACCAAGTCCTCGACTGTAGCTAGTGAAGTTTCAAAAGAATCAGCATTAGCTATTATTAACTCAGTACCGATATCGAAGTCAAGAGTGGCACATCAGCCGAAAGAAGAAATAGCCGATAATCGACAAGTACTACTTAATACTGGATGTACCAGTGGTCAATCGGCTGCAAAAGCGCCGACAATAGATCCCAAAACACATTCTTCTAAGATTCCATTGATAATACGTCAGCAGTATTTAAATAAATTCTTCGACCATTACCAAAGGTTGACCAGCGATTCTGATGCACATACGAAATCAGCGGAGGCAGAAAAATCTATTTATGATCGGACGAATTCTAAGACGGTTTACATGAGTTCATGTGTGAATGCTCTCAAAAGGCTGGCTAATATGTCATCAGCTGAATTTCTAGCGCAAAGCGAAAGTAGCAAATCATCAGCTATCGACAAACCAGCCTCGTCGTTGTCTTCAACGTCACTGTCGAAAACAAAATCACTATCACATAATCAAGTTCTATTTGGATCTAAATACTCTTTCGTCTCACAAAACACCAGAAATTCAGGTTCTTCGCAACGTAATTGCCTATCTGGAGAAGAATTTCACAAGCTTTGTGAGAAACTTTGTCTATCTAGCGATGAATTGAAAATTCATGGTTTTCCCGGTTTCGGAGAGTCTAAGAGAAAATGTTTTCTTGTAAATGACCTTGAGAAGGTAGGTGTGAATGATATTGAAGAGCGAATTTGTTCACGTTGCGGAAAAAGTTATTCAGTTTATGCAATAAGCGGATCTCCAGTTAGTGCCAACTGCGAGTCGGTTGAATGCGTGTACCATTGGGGTAAGCTCTGGTACCAAAGAACCTCGATGGACCAAAGATTCAATTGCTGCCAAGGAGACGTATCATCTATCGGTTGCTGCATTTCTAAGGGGCACGTGGTAGACAGAACTGTAGTTTTGAAGAAAGAGTTTATTCCAACGTCTGACAGAAAAAATGGCGAAACGGATAGCGATGGAATACACACTGAGCTCCATTCCACATTTGACAAGTCTGTAAGCCAGGAAGGAAGTTTCAGTAACAAATCGGTTTATGCTATCGACTGTGAAATGTGTTACACAACGATGGGCATTGAATTAACGAGAGTTAGTGTAGTTAACGACAAAAACGACGTTTGTTATGACAAGCTAGTGAAACCTAAATTCCCAGTTGTAGACTACAACACGCGGTTCAGTGGAATCACGGAAGCGATGCTTAAAAATGTGTCAACAACTCTTTCGATTGTGCAGAAAGATCTGCTTAAACTGTTCAGTGGTTCTACTATCTTAGTAGGCCACTCGCTAGAGAGCGACTTGTTTGCTCTGCAATTGATTCACGAGAAAGTAATTGATACTTCAGTTCTGTTTCCCCACAAAATGGGACTGCCTTACAAGCGGTCACTGAAGAACTTGGCTCTGGAATACGTGGGCAAAATAATCCAGGAAAGTGCGGATGGTCACGACAGCAATGAAGATGCTCAAACGTGCATATCGTTACTAAAATACAAGTTAAAAACGACGAGTGTTAGAACTTGAAATATGCAATATCTAAATTTGAACTGCTTTCGAAATCAACAAGTGATTTTTACAATTGGCTGCGAATATTTAAAAAAACAATGATGTTAAAACAATTTGATAACGAGAAGTGTACTTGTCATTGAAAGCAGTTCATTTAAATCTATCGTTACAGTAGCAAAGTTAGATAAACTAAATGAATAAATTAAATATATTCAATGTGAGAACACTTTTTCAAAGAAGCGAAGATCAAATGGAATGCAAAGTGTTTTGAATACACGAATGTTGAGGTGAGTTGAGATCGTTTATCAACTCAAGCAAATTCGAGCTTGAGAAATCTAGTGTCAGACGTATGATATCCTGCATACTTGCTCTGAAAATTCAAATAATTTCAATTTCTAGTCTGTTCTTTCAGGCTATAAAAACAATGGCTGACGCACACAGATGTCTTCCACGTTTTATTTGAAGCGCCTGCGATCATTGTTTTCCAACTAAAAGCTGCTTTCAATTTTAATGCCTATTTTTTTTGCTGAAGGTTCCTAAAATTAGTTTTAATTTTAATATACTTGATAATTTACGCCTTCATAGCAAAATTTAAAAAAAAATTTTGGCCCGGTTAAGTCCAAATAGTTTTATCTATCATTTGCCACAGTTTCAACCCTGTGCCTTAAAAAATTGCCTTGAAAACGTGAGTAAAAAGTAAGTTTATTTGTTCGTTGAAATCAAATAATTGCATTTTCTATGCCCCGCAACTGTACTCTTTGTGGAATATCTAGCTATGAATCTATTATTTCTCTCGTCTTTTGACGTTCGAGTTTTTTCATTTGTCTTATTGCTAGGAAAATTTCTTGATTTATTTTTTTCATAAGGAAATCTGATAGTTTTGTATCTCAGTTAATGAATGATCTGAATTTTCACTTTTTTAAGATGTGGTTTTATAAATAATTTATGTACGCTGTCTACATTATCTTGAAATTTTGCTTTCGATCGTTGAATCAAAATCTTTTAAAGCGTATTTACAAGTTTTTCTTTTGCGTTTGTTAACTTGCCTGTGTAACTCAAAAGTTTCAAAGCGTCGAGGCTGAATCTAACTTTCTTAAAAATAAAGTCAAAATTTTTACCTATATAACCTGTTACAAAAGTTTCTCAACATATTAGAAAAATGTCTATCTATACATGATGTTGAATTAATCTATTTTGTAAAAATATGAGCAAATTAACTCAAAATGATTTTAATTTTGGGTAATATATTGAATGAAAACTCCAAACCTGCCAGTATTAATCTGATTCGAAATTTATTTACATAGTTGTTTGATTTTTTTTCGAGAACTCCGTACTGAATGAATGTTATCAGAAGAGCGCCGCTTCATTGATGTTCAATCGTTTTAGTTTAGCATAAAAATCTTAAGCATAGAAATTCAGGATTTTGTAGCAAGATTATTTTCGGCTAGGCGGAGATTTAACCAAATTTGACGAAAGTGCCCAATCTAGAGTTGTGCTGTGTTGTAATAGTGGCACATAATTTTCTTGTGCCTCAAGAAACTTATGTTAAATTTTCTGTTTTTTTTACAGGTTTATTCCTGTGATTTGTAATTTTAGTAACGTTGATTTTGTATATTTTGCTGTTGTTTGTTTGGCATTAAAATTTTTGTTGTGTCTGAATGGTTTCAGCTTACATTCTTTCGGTTTAGTTACCTAATTTTGCGTCATTTCAAGTGGAACCCATTTCTTCATTCGAGACAATTTTTTAAAATATTTTGTAACTTTTTTTGACGCTCAGGAAAAACAATCAATGCGTGAACTTAATTGAAAGCACTTTCGATCAATACAGATCATCATCCGTCTAAAAAGATCAAACAGTTGATTGTACAAACCTCATGTACCTAGGGAAAGAACAAGACATGAGAAATGACATAGAAAACATGACAGATATAAATGAAACGAGGCGTGACAAATAAAATACAGAAGAATGAAAACAGGTTATCAAGTCATCAAAACCAGATGATACAATGAAAAGTTTACACCAGGATGGCGAGTTCGCGTGTGCGGTACTCCTCTTTATGATCAATGGCGGGTTTCCTGATGTTGATGTGTAAGGCCTCAAGAGTTATTAGTTTCACACTGTCACTTGATTTGTCAATAATTATAGCTGATATGTTGCTGCTGTTGCCAGTACATTTTTTTTGAATTTTACGCCAACTTTGTGGCTTCGTTTTTTGCTTGCTAGCTTGAAACGCTGTTTTTGAATGAAATCGCATATGTTGCGAAGCTGCAATTCGTCTCTGTAGATTTTGAATTTAAAAAATCATTTTTTTCTCAAATAAAACGTTTAATTTTATGGAAGGAATTTTGTTCATGCTAGCGATGATTGTGTTGTAAAATATGTGCCGGGTTTTCAAACTAACGAGCATGTTAGTTTTATTTTAAGATACTTAATCGCACATTTGTGTTTGTTTTCAGTCAAATTGTTTTGTTTGTATTTTGGCTTTGAATGAGGTGAGCTTGTAAAGCCTGTGCAGTTCATTTTGTGGTCATGGAGCGCTGAGGTTTGAGAAAATATGTTAAGGAATGTTTTTATCCTTTGGTTCTTTTGAATGGCGTAGTATGATTTGCTTTTTCTTGAATTTTAAAGTTAAAGATCGAATTGAGTTTCAATTTTATAGGTTTTGAATATTTTTTTTCATGAAAAGTATTAAAGTGGGTTCAGCTCAATTTTCATTTTGTTTTCGCGGTTTTTAACTCTTTTTAAGTTCACTTAATTTCCTTTTTTATAGGGAAGGCAAACTCTACTATCGAACAGAAAAATTGTGAAGGTCACGAAAAACGTTTTGGAAATGAACTTTTTTTTTTGTGAATTCCCAGCGGATTAAAAAATTTACCTTTTGATACAGTGTTTTTTCAAATTGGGTTTATTTATGTAAAAAATGGGCTTTTTTTCTTTTTCCTCCCACCGCACATAAGCATCAATTTTATGGTGAAACGAGGGGTTTTACAAGGTAAAGTATGAAGACCAAATATGTTTGTCATGGCCTAATTAGTCTGCATGCGAGCTTTTGTAACTATCGGACACAGCGAACAGACAGTTTACTAGTAAAATTTCGCAGGTGGGTTGGGGGAGGAAAAGGGCCAAAAAGTTTCAATAATAAGTCGATTTTTGAAATTCAAATAGCGTCAACCTGCTATATTTTTTCTTCGAAATTCGAAAGTTTTAATCATTTTTTTGTTTCATTTTTTTGTACTTTTCAACCTTTCGTTGGCTGTGTTTTCCTCTCCAGGCTGTTTCATTTTTTCTTTTAATTTTATAGCCCTTTTTTGTCAGTTTTGGTGAAGTGCTTCTGATTTGTTTATCAGGGTCAGTGGAAGCATTTATGATTTTCTCAGTTAGGAAGGCCGATTATCAAAAAGTTCGATTATCTGTTTGTATTAGTTCGACCAATTTTCCGAGCTCTGCCTCAACCACAATGAAAAAAATTGAAATATTGATAGGGGGTGGTAGTAAATAGCTTTTTTTTTCTCACCTGTATCGATATGTTTTCGGCTCTTATTCCAGATATTGATAACGGCTGAGCGAGCCATATATTGTTCACTGAGCGAGTGATAATATCTGACTGAGAGAACCAGAGTATTCTTCACTGTTCTGCTCTGATTCCACACAGTGAGTATGGAAGACTCGGCTGTCTCTCCGGTGCAGTCGGAGTCAATGCGTGTGGACTTAGAGCCCCTCCAGGAACACCAGATTGTGGAAGTCACATACGACGGACAGGAGATCTACAGAGCGCCGGAGTCATTCGCAGAACACTTCAGCAAAATACTCACCCAGATAGACTTCGGGGAAACATCACTGCCGCCGCTAACAGGTTATTAGTAATATTATACGGTAACTTCATCCTATGTGTAAGGTAACGGAAAAACACTTGGAGGGTCTGTTGTTGATCCCGTTGCCTGCCCTTTTCGGTTTTTTTTTAGGATAAATTTTGACTGCGTTAGGATAAATTTTGAAGGCGATTTATCTGTAAAAGAAAAGAAAAACATGAAAGCTGTTCAGCTTTTGACGGAGAACCGCTGTTGTGTCTCTACATGCAACTTTTTTATTTATTTTTTGGGCTGGGTGATGTTGCCTCACTCTCAAGCAACGAGCACGGATCATGGTGGGCCTCAATCGTCCGACCTTTCGATTGAGAGGCGGAGACGTAACCACTTCACCACGCTCCCCTGTGATGAGTAATTGCCTCGATTCAGTTTTCTTCTTTTCTTAGGTGTGAAACAGGGAGAATCAGGCAAAAGGGGGAGCTCGAAAGCTTCGGAGTCAGAAAGTGACAAAGGAAATGAAGTAGTCATTTGCACAATTGATTGAACGCAATTTGTTTAATTATATTAATTTACTGTTAAATTATTATCAAAAATTACAAAATTAAGAATTATAATTATAAGTATAATAACACTTATGCTTGTTTTCGCGTCCAATCAATTGTTGTGGATTCATAAATCGGAAACTGCAGTTGTCGCTGGAATAATATCTCCTCTGAAAAGAGAGCTGACCTTCGACGAAACTTCCGACAGTAATTCAAAAGCCTCAAAGACCTCAAAAAGTGTTCTAAACACAGTCAGACTCAATGTTCAAAACGCTCTCACAGAAATGAATGTTTTATTTGACGTGCTGCAATTGGCGAAAGATAGAAAATGTCTCAGTTCTGACTTGTGCCACGCCAATGTATCTGTAAACAGCTCTCAAAACAACCAACCTGTCAATCCGCAGCATTCGTCCTCGTTTTTGTCGGTAGCGAAACGAACCAGTTTTGCAAACTCAATTTCACTTCTCTCGAAGTTTTCAAATCAGCTGAAATCGAGACAATCGCTAAGCTCTAAAAGTGATGGTGAGTTTTATGGCCAGCTTGTAGAGCTGAGAAAATTCTGGAAGATTCGTAAAACGCAGCATACTTTGCTGGGAGACCTATACGTACAAAGCTCTAATTTCCACCATTCCAGCGTTTTTGAGGTGGTCAAACGCGATGGAGCTTTGGACGTTGTTTTGCCGAAAGATTTGGAAAGTTTCGACTATGAACTACATGCCAGTTTTGTTGAAAAGTCAGACATAGATTCATTACTGAAGTTCAGAAAAGCAATTTCTTTTCAAGAATCCGTAAATTCAAGAGTGAAACACGATGAAAACAAAATAGTCCATACAAAATTGAAGTCAGCACAAAAGTCTTTTTTGAACAAGGAAATCTTTTCTCAGATGTGCAAAGAAGCTACCCATATGAAGCTAGCGTGTCAATGTACAGTTCTTGACGATCGAATAATATGCCGGCTGACCGAACGGGAGGATATGATTATATCTCTAGTTCGACAAAGGAAAAATATATCCACTAAGACGGAAAGCTTAATTCAAGGCAAGTTGATTAAATCTTGTAAAGTAGACATTTTAAGATCTAGTTTGTTATATACCATTGCAATGTATGGATTAGCAATAGTACTACAACCGCAAAGTTGAGTTTTTCCATGACAAAATTTTTAAAAACAATTCCAACCTTGTCACGTCCTATGAACGAAATTTGAAACTCCAATTTTGAGCTTTTTTGCTTCTGGGAATGTCCACTTTATTCAGCCTCTTTTTTGCCTATTTTGTTTAACTTTTACAAATTGGGGTTTTAAAGTTTCAAAACAAGCAATATTTGAGCCAGAACCTTCCAAAAAGTACTGTAAAGATCTATCCCGTAAAGCGTTTTTTCCCCGTAAACGTAACAAAGTTGTTTACGGGAAAAAAAGTCTAGTACCCGATTGCAATACCCTTGCTTATCGCAAGGGTATTGCAATCGGGTACTAGACTTTTTTTTTCCGTAAACAACTTTGTCTACAGGACTCATCTGGACTCAGTACCTTGGTTCACAATAAATTCAAATTTCTCAGTGTCTCTTAGACACTTAACCTGGAGGTAATAAATACGCCTGGGGCGCTAAAGGCCTCGGGTTTGAATCTGACTAGGACCTGCTTTTTTTTAACGGTAAATGTTCCGGTTCAAAAAAATGGCCTATTATTTGTCTGCTTATTATGTTTCGTCGACTTAGTTGCCAGATCTAAGAATTGTTTTTTTTTTGCTGTAAACAATTTTCACTGTAACTGCTTTAGGTGTTTTAGCATTTGAAAAATCTGGCGGAATCGATATTTGTTTTAAATACTGGTTGTAATTTTATCAGCTCGATTTGTCAATTTTTTTTTCATTTTGGGTCTTTTTTATCGGGTTATTAAGTTTTGGCTTAATTTATATCGACCTAGTGGCTTCTTATTGCGCCGTTCGGGGATCGAAAAAAGTTTGTGTGCGTGCGTGTGCTCTGGAGGGGGAAAAGTGACATAAATTTTTTTATTAGTTAAGAATTTTTTTGCATTTTTTCGGCATGAAAGGTTTCTGATCAGGTATTTTCGGCTTTGTTACCAAATGGTAATTATAAATTCAAATACAATGAACCATCCGGCGCATCTGGAGTAGAGGCGACACAACTGCTTGAGACCACTTTTCTGACAGTTTTTTTTGACAAAAACGATTTTTTGAATTTTTTCTTCAAATTTTTCCGTTTGATTCTAATCAACTTTGTATCGCAAGAGGTGCGAATCTCAGCTTTGCCTGTGTAAAAATTGAAAGAATGTTCCAGACTTTTTTAATTGCCAAAGCAAGTGAATTATTATCGGTAACTAGACTTTTTCCATTTAACAACTTTTCCTACAAATCTGTCAGAATTGCTTTTTGGTCTAGTAGTAGAGCGTGTGTATTGGGCTTATAAGGTCTCGGTTTCGAGTCACAGCCGGACCTTGTTTTTTTTCGTTAGAAATTGAAAATTTTTCTGGGAAATTTTGTTGTCGCGGCCATTTTTTTTCTGCTTTATTTTTGTCGGTTTGTTTTCAAAGCAGAGGCGTTTTTTTTATTTAAGTATTTTACTCTAATTACACTTGCAGGGTTAACAAATCGCAATTTAGACTTTTTTCGGATTTAACTTGTTTGAAAAATTTGTGGGTTCGAATCTGACCAGGAATTGTTTTTCTTTCAAACTGGAAATATTCTTTTCCAAAAAATATTGGTTTGTCTGCTTATGATTTGTCGGCTTAGTTGCCACATCGTAGAAGATTTTTTTTATACGCAATTTTTCATTTAGCTGCTTTTTGTGTTTTGAATTACTCCTGCAATTTGTAATTTTACTAGTCTTGACTTCGTATATTTTGCTGTTATTTTGTTGGACTTACTTGATTTCAGCTCATTTTTTATCGGCTTAGAGACTTAATTTGGGGTCGTGTCACGGGAAGCATAAGTTTTATGATTCATTCCGGTTCGAACAAATGCTAAAATTCTTAAAATAGAATCAAAAGTAAAAAAACTTCCGTGACAGCATATTGTCGGTTGTACGGGAAATTATTCAAGTTTTCTCAGGGTTCAGTTGCCGCTTGTTGTTTATCTTTTGAGTTTTTGTAATTTCTGTCGGTTGCGTTTCGCGGCTTGTTTTCCTCAAATGAAAAATGATTCCAGACAACAATTTGAAATTTTTAAGTTGTGGTTTTACAGGGAATTTTTTTTGGAGTTAGTGGCTTTCTTTTCCAGTTTGCTAGTTATAAATTCAAAATCAATCAGCCATCGGGTTGATCTGGCGCAGAGGTAACACATTTGCTTGAGACAGCAAAGGCTTGTGTTCGAAGCCCGCCGGGGGCCTGTTTTTTTGCCAACCTGAGTTTTTTGTAATTTTTTGGACTCTCGTGCGTCTTTTATTTTTCTCGGCTCAGTTCTCGTAACGCGATTTCTTATGAAGGTCTAGCTTTGTTCTCAGACGCTGTTACCCCCTGCTTGATGTCAAAGCCCGGGAGTTCGATTCCAGTCGTGACTTCTTGTTTTTTTTTTTTCAAACTGAAACGTTTCGGCTAATTTAGACTTTTGTCTGTCTGTCTGCTTATTTTTGCCGGCTATTTTTTTTAAAATTTCGGCTTATATCCAGTATTCCTCGTAAAGTTTTTAATGGTGCAGCTAATTTTGATTCGGACGTTTTGGGCCTTTTTCCGATTTTATTAAATTCTTTTGACAAAAACGATTTTAACGTTTTTTTTTTAGTTTTTGATCTTTCTTTTCATTTGATTTTATCACGGTTATTCATCGTTGTATCGTTATTGGCATTGAAAGTTTTCCTCTGGGTTCAAAGTTTTTCTGTAATTTGTGAATTTACCAACTCTAATTTTGCCGATTTTTTTCACTCTTACGTTTTATCGGCTCAATCAACTTATAATAATTGATTTGAACGCAAAAATAGATTTTTAAAATAGAAATGATCGTAGTGATTACAATTTTTAGGTGCTGAGTGTTTCCTAGAAATTTACGGCCTTCAATTGCAGAAGTGCATTGGACGCAAAAAGACTTGAATAGCGTTTAGTTTTGAAATTCGATTTGAATTATCAGAAAACCCAGCGGAATAAAAAATATCCCTTGAGAGTTTTCAGTTATTGGTTAAGCTTAGTGGAAAAAATATTAATCATAAATGATACTTGTTGATTAAAGAGTTTTAAATTCATATTTGTTTCCTTTGAAATTCGATAGTTGAAAGATAACCAAAAATTGTCAATCATTTTTTCAGGTTTCGGTGAGTTCATTGATTTTTTGATTTGCTATAATACTGCTTATGTTTTTCAAATGTGATGGAGCGTAACAAATTTTTGAACTGAATTAGCAGAAATATTTTTGTAGGGCAAAGAATTTATTTTCGACGTAACGGACGTCTACTTAAAGTTTTGAAATTTTTGTAGGCCTCTCTTTATTCGAGTAGTTTTTGTCTTTTTTTTCTTAAGCTAGGTTTTTGCTGTATCGCAAGTGTTGCGAAGCCTCACTTCGCCTCTGTGTGAAAATCTTCATCCTTTAGAAAATCCTAGATTGGTACCTGCTATTAGTAGAGTCCAAAAACCATGGTTTTTTCCCCGTTTTTGAGACACGTACCTGGAGAAATGGTTGAGATAATGAGTTTCTTATCGAATTGTACTGTTATTTTGAGTTTTTCAAGCAATTATGATTTTGTTCCAGCAGTTATTTACCCTAATTCAATCTCCTCCTCCTACTACCTAGAAAAAAATTCATTTTTTATATCACAAAAATTGAAGCAATTTTTGAAAAAAAATTCTTTGTTTGAAGTTTATGTGACTTTTTATCTTTGCGATTAGCAAGAGTATTGTAATTGGATACTAGGTTATATTCCTGTAAACACTTTGCTAGCAGATTTTGCTCGTGAGATACTACGTGCTACGTAATAAATTGAAATCCAATGACAGTTTCTGCACATTTAGCGTAGAGAACGCCCAAGCTTGGGATGACAAGTCTCCCTTAGAGTTATTTTACACCAGACGTTTTTGCTGGATCAACCTGCATTTTTTTCAACTGAAGACGCGTCAAAAATGCTGTTTTTTGGTCCAAACCTTCATGCGGCGGAGAAAGGCAAAATAGGGTCTTCATAGTGTATCCGGTGAGCTCAGAAAACCATTTTTAGTTCATCTAGAAGTAAGAGTAGAGTTGGTTTTTTTTCTGAAGATCCGTCCTTTTTCAGAAAATCCTAAATGGGCTTTTCGAGTTTTCGCATTTGTGCGAGAGCGGGGTCAGAGCTTCGATTGATATTTTGTTCGGCTTAGAAGTTTTCAGTTTTTTTTCGAAGGTTTAGCGGGTGTGTGGTGATATTTTTGTCGTTGTTGTTGCGTCCTTTTATGTATTCTCAATGTGCATCACGTATATTTACACAATCGAAGTGCAGTGTGATAGGACGATGCAATGTTTTTCCAACCTAAGTGGAATGTGGGATTGTTACTTTTTGGGGTACTTTCAAAGCAGGAGGTAGCATTGGTAGTATAATACCAGATGCTTTGATATCTGATTGGTAAAAAATTAACACAATTGATGCTTTTTTAATTCATAAAATGAACCGAAAAAGCTCTGTTTTATATAGCAATATAAAACTTAAAATTTAGGAGATTTTGGAAGTTTTTCAACTCAATATATTTCGCGAGAATTTTTGAAATGCAGAAGTTGTGCACAATTTGACTTCATACTTTCAATTTTATTACATGCCAAGTTAGTTTGGTTGCTTTTAGGTTATTTCATCCAAAATATTACCTGCAAAGTTTGGGTTTTTGAAATTTGAAGCTCATTTTGCTGATTGTCTTGGTTTTGGTAAGCGTCATGCATGTATTGAATAGGACAGCCAACTGGAAACAAGAATGTCAGAAGACTGATGATTATTTTCCGTAGAGGTATTTTTTTAAAAACTTTTTAAAATAAAGTGCTTCTGGCGTTTGTTCGCTTGTTGGATCAGACATAAATACTTCGGATAATTGGTTTTTCCGACAATTTTCGACGCTCAAAAGAGTTTTCAATTTAACTTGATTTTGATAAGTATTGAAATTTATTTTATGCTTTAGACTCAGCATCAGACAATACCAAAAAGTCCCAGAGATTTGAAGCTTTTGAAATCAGTTTGATTCTGTTTATTAAACAACTCTATCTCACTTACCTCGCCAAGTCATCTACTCCTAGCATCAGTCATCCTATCAGTGCGGCTGTGACCTCAAACCAACAGTTTTTGAATGCAGCAGCACTTGGTTACAAAAAACCGCAGTTCGAACTGATCAAAAAGACCAAAGGTATTCTAGAAAGCGCAGTTGATTATGCGCTTCACCTCAGTGTTAAATTTCGAATTAATGAGTACATCGAAAAACTTCAGAAAATGTACCCTGCAATCAGTTTTGTACGAAAGTTTTACGCTACTCGCAAATCATTGGCACTTAAATTGGAATCTTGTTTGACACTTTCGATGAATGTTAAAAATGCCAAGTATGCGAAAGCGGCCAAGTTAGCTAACATCACAATCAGCGAACAAAAAATTAGGTTTTCTTGCAACGACTCGTGGGGTTATGATACTTCCTTTTCTTGTTTGCAAAATATGATGCTGGAAAATGTGTCCGAACTTCTTGTCTCTATTTTTCTGCAATGTGGAGCTTCGTTTACTTGGAGACAACTCACTTACAGTGGAAATGCTTTTTCATCTGAGTACGGGATAATCCTGCAACATCCTGACAGTTTCTCGAAGCTTAGTTTGCGTGTCGTGAATAACAAACATCTTCAGGTAACGCTTCGGATTCTTGTTCAACCAACAGGGTAACCTTCTTAGCTTAGTAGTATGAAAGAAAGTTAAATTCTCCAATATCAAACAAAACTCATACATAAGTTGAATCACGATATTTAATGATACGGGGGGAGATAGACGAAAGGCATTTTGTATGCCTATTAGGGGTCTACCAGAAACACCTACCTTTATATAACAGGCAAACTTTGAAAATGCAGACCCGCTGTTGTTTATGCGTTGCTTTTAATTTTTGGAGATTATGTTTCTGGTATGTTTTTCGGTATTCAACTTAAATACAAAGCCAACCGTATTGTATTTCTGATTGGTTTTAGCTCTGGTTTTTTCGCGCCATTTGCACGTTCGTATGTTTAGAGTGCTATTTGCGTAAATTTTAGCAGATGAATTTTAATTGAACTCAAAAAATGCATATATACTTAAGTGCATTCAGAAATGCATCAAAATGTATGAATGCACATATGATTTCGTCCGGGAGTTTTCTAGTCTGTTATCAGCAAATTTGCCTAATAAGGATGGTTCTAAATAGCTAACAAAAGACCTCAAAATTTAATATTCGCTTGATGATATATTACAACAGGTGCCTCTGTGTGCCCTGTTTAGACTTTCATATAATATGTTTGAAAGAACTTAATTATTTTCACACAACGGATTATAGTATTTCAATCTTTTGAAAAGTTTCCGAGGTATCTTTGTTTAAAAGCTGAATTTCAGAAAGTCCGAAATTTCATAAAAGTTTTGAACATTTTTAAACATTTTAGTCTGTTGGCCGTGTCATCATTTTCTTTCCTAAATTTAATTTAAATCCAACTTTCCGATAAAGACAGCTTGGTTCATAATTACTTATGTTCAGGTGAAATACTGGAAACCTAGGAAAGTGCCACTGGTGCCAGAGGACAATGACGTCATTCAGGACTCGGCTCTGCACGAACTAACCGGAGATTGGATGCAGGTCAAGTTCGATCGCATTCCAGGAAAGGATATTTACGAGAAATTCGAACACCTCTTTGCAACTTTCTTGTGACTCCGAAATTATGAGTTTATTTTAGTGGCTTATAGTGTAGTTTGTTCAAACAGTGTCTGTTTAATTTACGACAATCACCGTTATTGGTCTTTTTTTACTTGAGGTCAAGAGTTGAGAGAGGTCAAAAATTCTTGGCTTCTGTTCTACCTGCCAGAATGTTCTATCTAATTTCAATCAGCGGCCTGAATCGCAAAATTTGCGATTTCAAATCATGAAAAAAAATCCATTTAAATCAATCTTATGGAACCTGATCTAAACTATATTTTATGATTGGATAAATTAAATGTTTTACCAATGTAAAGTATTTAATATTAACCAATCATGATCCATCTAACTAACAACCCACTTATTTGTAAGTGCTGAAGTTACTTGTAATTTCAGCACCAGAGAGATTTGAATTTAACTTAGAAATTAGTTGGACTCTCCCGAGCACTTCAGCAGCCGCAATAAACCAGTATACCCTAGATCTATTGAGCCTAGCAGAGACTAGTTAAACAACCTGAGACTAGATAGTATAAGAGTAAGATTAGGATCGGTATTAGACTAAGAAGTTGCACGAATCTATCCGGCCGAAAATAAGATAGCGTGACGAGCAGACGGTGTACCCTATCCGAAATTACTCTATGAGTTATACACCCCAGTCCTAACTCATCTGGTGCGACCATAAGTCTCGAACAAGACCTTACTAGATTAGAATTAACCAAAAATAGATTAGAAATTAGACAAAAACATTTACAAAATGTTATACGACAATAATTTAATTGAAATGTCTCTCCGACTCAATAGATCAGAGCCAATATTCCGAACCATAATAGAACTACCCAGAATTGGAAGAAGACATCGAACCAAAGACGACATACGACAAAGTAGAAACTTGCCGTATAGTTATATGATAGTTCGGCAAAAGCCAGAACAAACTTTTATATTTCGAATACTACTTGCAATGAATTTAGATTTCCATTTGCAAACATAAAACCTTGAAGTTAATCTTCAAAATCATTTCAGGCGCTAAACAAAATTAATATTATACAATAACGATTGATAAAAAGATCTAAGATCGTTTTCCTAAAACTCTGCAGTAATATACAAAACATGTTTGAAAAATATTTATTGAAAAATAAAAATAAAAATTAGTAGCATGACAATAAATGGTTAGTAATCATAAATCATCTTGTTGTTCCAGCTTCATCACCTAAAACATAACAGCAATCATCAACTCACTAACATCATAAAACACTAAATCTTTCCTTTACACACATTTAAAAATTTATCAAAACTCAAATTCACTTAATTTTAAAACCAGATCATCAAGGCTTATCCTTGGATCTTAAATCATTTTCTACTTAATTAAATTTCAAAATTGATCATCAAGGCTTATCCTTGGATCAAACAGAACAACTTTGTTCTCCCCCACCCACTTAATTAGTGTCTAACGACCTCAAACGTCGATTCACTACCCAACCCTCTCTAAAAACCCAGGACTAATAGAAATTTTTACACAAAACTAATCATTCAAATTAGGATAAACAGTGAAGAACTTCGGTTATTCATCCTTCACTTGACCCCCCCTCTTACCAGACCCAGGATAAATCTTAGACTTAGTAAGTTTAAAATAGTATCTAACGAACTACTCGCGTTCTAATTATACCTGAACCTTGTGGATCGATTTACTATTCTCCAACCCTTGAACACAATCACTACCCCTAAGTAAGATTAAGTAAGTTAACACCTTAGCTTATACTAGTCACGAGAAAGTAAAAATCATTCTTCGGAATCGATATACTTTTCTCTCCAACCCTGAACAAAAGACCCAGGTTAAGCTAACCAAAAAATCGTAAGGACTAATAGTTTAGGTAATTAGAATTCACTTAACAACTTTTTGCATCCGTCATCCTAAACCTTATGTCATTTAAAAACCTAGGAAATAAACAAACAATCATTTTACACAATTGTGAAATAGATAACAAAAAATACGACCTTGTAATTACACCTCATACACAAACAGTTGGATACATTCGAACAAAACGACAAACACTAAAGAGAAAAATAATAACTAAACAAAGACAAATAACACGAAAAAGATTTTCAAAAAATCGAAACGCATTTTCAGAATCAGAAACCAACAGTTTAGACGAACTTTACAAACTAAAAGAATCAGTAGATAAAAATTACCCACTTCACGATCAATTATATTTTTCTGACTCAGAAACAACTTCAAATTCATCACAAAGAGGAAAAAGAAGAATAAAAAGCAGTATAAACACAAACCAGTACATCTATACAATTGGAATCAACCAATTCGACACATTAATAATTACATATTAACAGTCATCGAACGAAAAAATGAGTTCAACGCACACCCCAGGTGACGAAACTCCAGATGATGATGAAATCTTTCCTTTTATAGTAGACGCAGATACTGATAGAGGACAACACATATTTTGTCAAAATTTACTCGTAAACTTATTTGAACCCGGAATCAGCCCATGTAAAACAGAGTTCCCCGATGTAAAAATCAAAAGACAAATCATAGACCACTACTTAAAAGATATATGCAACATAACACAACAGTATGGAATCTACTCCATAGAATTCACCTCACCAAACCATAATAATAGAAAATATACAATTCAAACAGACGATCTTGATTTAGAATTTTCAAAAGTTTTTTCAGAATATATAAAAAGCATCCAATATCATAACTCACAAAGAGCAAACTCCATATTCACCAATGAAGTTTTCGCAATAATATATAGTTATATTTCGATATTAGAAAACGAAATCCCAATAACAAATGTCTCACCGACAGAAACATCTAAACATTTGAAAGTACGACATGAAATCACACTACTCTCTAGTTATTTAAACATCATTAAAGAAAATTTCACGAAAGACGACGTTTCACAACATACCAAACACGATTTACAAAAAATTTTGGCATGGTTCATAATAGATTATTTCACACACAATATTGATTTAATTGCACAAGCAAGAAAAAATTTTAGACCCCAAAATTCGAACGATGATACCGCTATCACAGAACAATCAGATTATGTTTGGGACCCCGAATGGTCTCATCCCGCATTTATAAGCTTTCCACAATCAATCTCAAGTCAAGCAATAGGTACAATATCTTACATAAGAGATTATGTAAGAGTAATACCATTAACAATTGATGCAACACCATTAAACTATAATACATTTTTACCCGATACACAAAATAATAGTTTAAACTCGACAGTCATACACAACGAAAACCTCAATGGAACTAGGAATCTTACTCAACAAGATATCCAGACACCATCACACTTCATAAATGAAGAAATTGTACACACAACAACTACACAACAAAGTATTTCACCAATACGCCCAAATTTAACAACACCAAGAAATACAAATCCTTCACAAACACAGGTAACCTTACAATCAACCGTTAAACCTTCGGTTGCTCCAAAATATTCCCATATGGATTACCAAACATACAGACCCATGACAATACCATCAAAAACACGCAAAACATTCACTAGAAACAACTTTGCAGACCATAATTATAATTATACACATCCATCAAAAACAAATTATCAACCACAAAGGAATTTTAATCAATATACAAAACCTCGAAACTGGGATAACCCAACGGCCCAATATAATTCCAAAAATTTTCAACCAAATCCTCCACAGGATCGCAGTGAAAATTACCCATTTTTTCAACAGAATAAAAATAAAAAACAAACATCTTATCAAATGGATTATTTATCCTCAGATGACGATTTTTTACAACCAGATATATTTGCACAAAATACTCAAGAATATCGTAGACAAGGAATACAGAAAACATGTACAAACCATAGAAATTTTTCTCCACAAACAATAGATGCACAACATCAACAACCAATTCAACAACAAAATCTAATTAATACACAATCTTTTCAACCAATTCAACAACAAAATCCAATGACTGCACACTCGTATCAACCATCACAAATGCAAAATGAAATACCACTCCCATATTATCTCCAACAACATGAAATAACAAGAAACCAACTTTCAAATTTTTCTCAAATGCCAAATGCAGCAGAATCACTACAAATGACAATGAATCCATACCTAATGGGTGGATCATCAATAACATCAAACAAACCTTTAATGGTTTTCACAGGAACAGACCCTGAATACTCTGTAGAAGATTATTTAAATGCAGTAACAGCAAACCTGATTTTAAATATTGGACCTGAACCAATTAATACGCCACTACATCAAAACTGGATACATCGACGCACAGCGTTAATACAAACAACCTTAGATGGCGCAGCCCAAAAATGGTTTTCAGTACTACCTCTAGAAATAAAATCAAACTGGAAAAGATTTACACAAGAATTTTCAAAAATGTTTGACTCCGAAAGAAACAAACAACAACAAAGAGTTTTATGTAATGAAATTCGCAGATTACCAAACGAAACCATCAAGCAAATAGCAGTACGAATCGAAACACTAGTTCGAAAAGCATACTCACTAAATACACATGACTATAAAAACACAAAGATGACAGAAATCTTAATGATGACCTTAACACCACAATTAAGGAAAATAGCAATAAAAAAGAGAGCATCCCATCCTTCTTCAATTCGAGAACCCGATTTAGATTTTCGAAAACTAGTAGACAAATTAGAACAAGCAGAAATCACGATGAAACTAGAAGAAACGGAAAATCTGAAATTACAATACGTTAACAAAATTGAAACGACTCCCACTAATATTAATAATATACAGGAATCAGAAACAGACCTCGTTGAAAAAATCACTGAAATACTCAATATTTACGAAAAGAACCCGAACTTTAAAGGCAAACCATCTTTCAAAAAATGGTGTAATTATTGCCGACGATACGGACATAGTATTTCCGAATGTAGACAAAAACAGCAAGATAGTCAAAATAAACCTCAAAAATACAAAGAACCAAATAAATCATTCTATCAATACATGAAAAAAGATCAAAATCTACCGAACAAAACAGTCCACAGCAACAACAGTTCAGGAAAACCACTCCCGAACAATACAAATTATACAAGAAATCAATCCCCAT